AAATACAAAGTTAATTTGCAGAGGTGAGAGGTGAAGGCTTTGCATATGTCATTCCATAGCAGGGTGTGGTTCCTGTCAGGATGCTGGAGCCCACTCTTCCTTCAGCAGTCTGTGCAGGGGGACTGGGAATATCTTAGTGCTTTGCTCGAAGAATAAAGCCAGTGACAAGTGTTGGTTTACCCTGATCTGTGCATTCAGAACCAGCAGTAAGTTCTTCTGTTCTCTCTCTCTAAGCCAGGTGCATGACCAGTGTTAGCCCAGCCCAGGGCACAGGCCAGCTCAGCCCCGGATCGGTCTGTCCTTCCGCAGCCCCACTGCCTCCTGGAGCTGCTCTGATCTGAGCACTGCTGTCAAAGCTGTGACTCCTGTGTGCTCGTGGGACCTTTGCTTTGGGAAAATAGGCCAAATATTTATTTTCACGGAAAAATATTTTGGGACATAAATACGCAAGCTGTGTATGGGTGGCAGAGTGAATGGGGGTGAATTTCAGCACGACAGAAAGCCATAAGTACTAGATGAGTTAAAATATGTCCAGCCCTTTGGTGTTTTGGGCAGCGCGTTCCCACCCAGCGGCGCGGTTACCCTGCCTGGGTCAGACTGCTTGTACCATCCTGCTGTGAGCGTACAGGTGGCAGTTCCACCGGCTGCAGAGTGCCCAGGTTCTCCTGTGGCAGGCGTATCTTGCTGGCTGCTCTCGGAAAAGGAATTTCTTTTCCCTTATGTAACTTGTCGGTAGCGTTACATCCAGAGTCGGCTCTTGCAGAAGTGCGTCAGCCTCGCTTGCAGTGGCACAGAAAAAACTTACCAGAGCGTGCACTGAATTCCCCCCTTATCTCCTTATAGCACATTTTATGTATCTTGTAGTGAGATGTTTTGTTTCTACGGTTTCAGCCTTCGTGTTCCAGAAGATTAATAGACTTAGCAGCCCTGTTTGCTCAGCTTAGCAGCGATAACAATGTAATAAGTCATGAGACGGTCGCAGATCATCTGGCAAGGCAAAATATGCCTTGGACTTGAGCTTGGAGCAGGTATTATTTGCAGGGAAAAGTGAAATGTTGAAAGCATTATAAATAGCGTGTCCTGACTGGGGCGGCTGTGTGCTCAGGTCTGCAGAGCCTGCACGGGAGGCAGCTGATGGCATCTGCATTCCCCCTCCGGACGGCCCAGGGAGCGAAGGCAGCGTTTGTACCCTACATGGCTGGTATTTAATGCGGCACGCACGGAGCCCTGGCTGAGCTCAGGCACAGGCTGGAGGAGCAGAGAGCAGTGCTGGGCCCCGAGCTCCCAGATCCTCCTGCAGCAGCTCCACACATTCCTGCTGTGCTGCTGGCTCTGATGTGAGCGAGTCCAACTGCGAGCAGTGAGTAAGGACTTGGGAACCCAGGGCATTTTTGGGCTCTGGGCCCAATCCTGCTTCCAAAGCAGTTAATGGGAATATTTTCCTTCTAAAAAAGGGAGAGAGATCAGAGCTGCCCAGCTCAGTCCTGCAAGGCCCTCAGCACTCCTCTCTGGGTTGTGGGTAACCGCAGGCTCCCCCATTGCCCTGGGTGGGGATGGACTGTGGGTGGGTGGCTGAAGCCCCCTGTGAGGGACAGGAGCGCTCTGAGGCTGCTGGAGCTGTGGCATTGCAGTGACATTATCTGTGCTGCAGTGACACCACACTCATGGAGATAAGCTTTGCCTGTGAATGTAAGTAAAGTGCTGCAGGAGCACGTGGAGTTTGCTGCGTTATTTGGGTCTAGGCGTGCCCGAGGTCCGGAGCCTTTGGAGCCGGCGCTCCCCGGGCACCGTGCAGGAGCGTGCATGCTCCGGAGCTGCTCCAGGCACATGTGTCAGGTTTTCCGAGCAGGTTGCCAAGCTGAAGGCAGAAGGCAGCAGGCATCAGGCCTAGATTGGCCATAGAAAGTGCGTGTCTGGGTGCGCAGGCGCCGGGAGCCGCTGCTCCAGCTGCTGCCGAGTCCGCTGGGCTGTGCTGGCTGGGCTGGGCCACCCGCCCTTCCTCTTCCTCGCCAGTCCCAAGGGCTGCTGCTTGCTGGCTATTTTGGTGCTGCCTGTGCCATCTGGCTTCCATGGGAGGAAGGGCCCGTCAGCTGCATGTACTGATAAACACAGCGGGGATTTCTTGGGAGAAGTATACTCTCTGTTTTTTCTTCTGTGAATCTCTGAATCTTGGAATAAAACCCAAACTAAAATGTTTATTCCAGTGTTTGGAAGAGTTTATTAGTGCCTGGGTAGCATTCTTGACTTTGTATCAGTGACGTCCGTTATTCTTTATCCATAATTTTATACGGGAATCCTTTCGTGCTCCGTATGTGGGCACAACTTCAGTGGACTTCGAGCCTTCTTTCAAGCAGTGAAAAATCAAAGGTAGTGAGTCTGTGATCGTGATAATGTAATTATGTGTTTTTCAGCTTTTTGATGTGTAGCAGTTAAAAACATTTTTCTGGGAATGCCAGCATTTGCTGCCGTGCTGGAGCTTTGCAGGCTGCTGGGAAGGAAGTCCCTGGGCAGATATCTTGTTTGCTGCTTATCAGCATTTTATTGAGCTCCTGTATTTATGTGCAAATATATTCCATAAATAAATCTTTAATGATGTGATTTTTGTTGTGAAAAGTAGACGCAGCGCTCTGTTCGATTCTTCTAATTAAATACAGCTAATGGTGGAACTGAAATACAAGAATTTGAACTTCTTTCGCTTGTTTTTCTGCATGACTGACAAAATTAATGCTTTGGGTTTGTTTGTTTTGTTTTCTACAACTTCTAAGCATTTTGTCTTTAATAACTGTTTTTTAAAAAGTGCTTTTTCCTAACCCTTTTCAGAAGCTATTTTCCAAATATTCCATGGTTTTTTGTGTAAGAGTAGAGATTTAAACTTTCAGAATTGGTGGTTTTCAATGGCTTTTAGAGGGAAGAGAGAAAATACAAGGAAAACTGTAATCTTTTGAGCTTTCCCCAAAACTCCTTCACTGTGTATTCAATTTGGGTAGCTTGTATGGGTATGTTAGAGGAAAAGGGGACACACTGAGGAGAACCCAAGTAGAGGACAGAGAGGAGTCTTCCATGTGAGAAATTCCATGGCACCGTGTTAAGGGCCCCACTGCTGTCTCTGACACGACCAGTCCAGCTCAGAAGTCCCTTCCTAACCCACCCCTGTGTGTCGTGGCAGCTCTCCTGGCTGAGAGCTTGTGCAGCAAAACCTGTTCCAAACAGGGGCCGTTAGTGGGTTGTTTCTTGTGGTTATTGTTAGCTATATAAATATCATGATTCAAGATGAACAAACAACAATATACTAAAGCAAAATACTGATTAAAAATTGTCTCAAAGACATTTTCCACTTCTTTCCTAAAATAAAACATAGTCATGCAGTTTTTATTATTTTTATTACTTCTCTTTAATACCAGTGACTAATTTGGAGCTTTTCCTTGGTATCTGAAGGCACATGTATTTATTTAGCTTGGGTGAGATTGGTCACGATGCAGAATTAATCACATCAATAAGTGCTTCTGTGCTGCTGAGCACTGTCTGTGTAGGGATATCTGTTAAGTCAAAGAAAGCAGTCTCCTAAACTGGATTAGTTTTACTGTGTATGGAAGAAGCATTTTGCTTTTGTATTTCTGCACGACAGTGATCTTGGATACCTCAGATGGTGGCAGAGCAGAGAGAGTTAAAAACTCTCTGGGATTTAGATTCTTATGTAACTAATGAGAAGAAATTATATAGATTTGTTGTATTTTCTGAAAAGTTGTACAAGTTTTTATCCTGGGAGGATATGATTGATAAACATAAATTAAATGTAAGGTCAAAATGTATAAAAAAATAGAAAATCTCTGGGATCTGAGATTCAGGGAGGAACAGCCAGCTGTGAACGTGGTCTCTGTGTCTCCTGTCCCTCAGCAGACACTGCAGTGGGTACCAGCACTGTCCTTGCTTTGTGGTTCATGTTGTCAGTGACCAAGTTGGGCAGTGCTGTCCTCTCACTGAGCTGGCAGTGCCTCCCTGCTCTGGGTGTCCCCAGCACGGCAGTGCTGCCACTGTGGGACCCTGGGGTGGCCTTGGAGATGTGGGTCCCCCGGGTGCTGCCTGGTCTTGCTGCAGAGCCAGGGTGCTGGTTTGCCACTCGCCGCAGCATTCCTTCAGTCCAGACTGTGTCAGTGACCCCGCTTTCCCCATTCCCACAACATTTTCTGGTCCTTGGAGAGAAGCAAGTGATTGTCCCTGTGTTGCCAGAGCTCACCATGGCTGAGCTGAGGTGCCCAGGCCATCGGATGATGAGCTCTAACGGCTGCTGGGAGCGGAACTGGGTGTAACAAGTTCCTCCTCAGCTGCACTCACGTCCCTTTTTGGTTGCCCTCAAGTCAGATGCAAGGTGAAGCACTCCAGGTAATTCCCAAAAAAATGCTGGGCCTGGCTGGACAGTGCCTGTTACGCAGCAGACAGTGAGTAGGAAGGTGCCCCCACGGAATTGTGCCAAGGACTCCCCATCAGCCCCCATGTGTCACTCCCTGTGTGACAGCACAGGGCCAGCAGGGCCCTGTCACCAGGAGTGGGATGACACACCAGCTCAGAGCAGGTGGCATGAATGGCCTGTTCTGTTCCTGGTAATTAGGTTCAGATTTAATCTCGCCAAGTAATTAGATGTGTGCAGGGATGTGGTGGCTGCATCCAGACTCCTGACTTGAAATTATCCTCCTAACAAAGCAATTGGCGTGTTACTGGGCAAGAACTTTGAAATCTGGAGTTTGGTGTTGGGGGTGAATTTGGGAGAGAGGGCCCAGACAGGGTTGGGTTGGTGAGGCCAAGTGCATGAGCTTGTTGGCTGGAGCAAGTGCTCCTAGTAATGAATGAATGATAGTGTCAGTATTGCCCTGTGTATGCCCTGCTCCATCAGCAGCTCGCTGCAATGGTCTCTCAGGACTTCTTTTCCCCACTGCTCTATCCAGCCATTTCTAGGGAAGGAAAAGCCACCTTTTGCAACCAAGGCCATGTGGCAGCTGCATTTATCTGATTGTAAAAGGTGGGTACCTGAGTAGTAATAAGGTGCATTGTGATATTCGTGAAGTGTGTTTTCCCTTCTGGTACAGGAGGTGTTTAAGCATTGGGTCTGCTAGAAGCTGGGGGGGTGTCTGCTGCACCTCTCACCAGTGAGAGCTCCTCTGGGTCACTTCTCCTTCACTTCATTGGCACAACGGAATTTGCTGGCAGAAGGAAGCAGTTGCTTCCCTTGCTGAGTCATGGACATGGATTTTTTTTTCTGTGGTGGAGGTTATCATGGATGATGCCAATAATCACGTTTTATATAAATGCATACACACATGTACAGTTAGAAATCAGCTGTCACTATGGGAGTGTTTCCTCTTTGCTACTGTTATAGGCACCTCCCAGCTCTGAATCTCTCCTGTGGGATTCACCCCGGGGTTTGCCACATGGCTGTTCTTGAGGAGAACACCCGACATCCGCTCCCACTGAAACAGACTGGGAGATGAGGGTGAGGGTCACACCCCTGCACAGGAGGGAGTAGGGAAGGTTTTACAGGTCTGTGCTGCCCCGGGGGGATGGTGGTGTTGGGGGGCCTGATCCTGGTCTGACCCCACTGCCGTGGGTCATCTCGCTGCTCTCCTGCCTCGCTTGGCTTGTGTACATTTGCAGTTAATCAAACAAAATGTGCAAGAGTCTGATTAATAAATAGCTTGTAGTTTTTGGAAGAGTGCATAGTTGTTTTGTTAGAGCCTCTCAAATGTCTTTGTATAGAAACAACATATTTAAAATTACTATTAATTAGAGCAAGCATGTAAGACTGATTTTAATAAAAGAGCTCTTGTTTTTTTCTGTTCAGTTTGTTACTTCTCAGAATTTTAACTTGCATCACTAGATTGCTGTTATTTTTAAAGATAAACAACTTCTTTTTAGACTTGCTTGGGAAATTTCACTTCTTAAACAGTTGAAATCCCCCTATGCCAGGGTAATAGAGAACTTCCCATTTCTACAATACATTGTGTGGATGTTATGATAAAGGAATTACAGTGTGGATACGTTTTTATTACCAGAAACAGTATTTGCAAGTTTGGTGGTGGGGATGGGTATGTGAACGCTTTGTAATACACAAATTTGATGGAAAATGGGTTAAAGGCAGAGTAATCCATCCCTGTTTTGTGTCCCTGGCTTGAAGTTGCAAGAGCAGAAAAACAGCTCATGTGCCGTGTCCTTGTCCGAGACAGGCACTGGCCTGTCCCTGCTCTCCTTCATAAATACACGTCCAGCTAAGGCTGTCAGACTGTGAATTCTGCGTGTCCCTCAAGTCCCAAAGTTTGTAAAGGAGACTGATATATGCCCCAGGTCATTAAAAAGAGAAATCAACAGGCATATTTCTTGACTTTAAAGATTTTTAAAATTGCAGCAATAGTGGCTAATCCGTAACCGTCTGCTCCTTAAAGAAAAGAGGGTTTATGGAATTTGCAGTATAACTTTCTGACTTGAAAATAGCATTACTGTAATCTAAAGTAAGAGAGGATTGGGCTGGGGGATTTGTATATCAGTGCCAGTGCACTGCTGGTGGGAACTTGTTTGTGGTTTGATTAGGGACAGAAGTCTTGGAGCAGTACCTGATTCCTGCACGTGCCTGGGGCACGTAGTGTGCAACATATGGCCTCTTTTTCATTATTTATCCCATTTTCATGAACTGAGTGCACTTGGGTGTGTTAAATTCAGATGGAATGTCACAGTTAGGTGGTTCTGCTAAAACAGTTCCAGAAACTGTGAAATAGACTCAGATGAAACCACGTCTGACGGGGATGTGCCAGAGGAGCCACTGAAGTCAGTGGGAGGTTGCACCAGGCGAGTCTGTCAGAGCTAAAACAGTACAGAAAAAACCTTTAAAACACTACTACTACTACTACTACTACTACTAAAACTATGTATATCATGCAAAATATCTGGGTCACAGAAGCAGTGTTGGCAGTTTTTTACAAATCCAGTGTGGGACTCAGTAATTCAGAGCTAACGTGTGCTTGTAGTGTTAGCAGGCTCTGAGTCCCAAGCTGCTGGGCTGGGGAACTGTGGAATCCATCTCAGGGTACAGCACCTGGGCAGTCCTGCTTCAGACCTGGCTGCTCTCTGCTCTGCCTTTGCACTCCATTTGTTCCAGGTATATGTGAAAGTCCCAAACTGGGAGAGGGGTCATTTAGCTTTTCCATGCTGTCCTACGGGAGCAGTGGGTGCAGCTCCTGTGGGGCTACAGTACAAGACATTGGGTTGTTCAGCTGTAGTTTACTAAAGAGTATTTTTCTTTACCCAATCCTATACTGTTACGTGGCCAAGATGTTCATTAGCTCATTGTTTCAGCTTAATTTTGTGACAGCACTATAATTATATCCCTCAGTTGTGCCGAGGAGTAATTGCTGTATCTCTTCCAAATTTTATGTTGAGATATGTTATTGGTAAACTTTGAGTTTGGCAGAGGTGTTTTGAAAATACTATAAGGCAGTCAGTAATTTTGTGTTCCTTGATTTAAAAGACAGACATTTGGCAGTTTCAAGCTTTGGGACTGCCCCGTCAGTGTAAATAGAATATTGATTTTATTCCATTTCCTATCTCATTAGAGTCATTGTCATGAGGATGAATTCACGTTGTGTAATTATCTGTTCTTGCTGACAGTTCTCATGTCATTGAGACTGGTGTTTTCAGCTTCCACTTTCTCTGAGCATAAAAATAGCATTCTTCCCTGCCATCTTCTCCTTCAGTGTTGGGCTTTTTGCCTGCCCAGCTTTATACATCTTTTTTTGAGAGACGTGTGTGAATTGAGATAGAGAAAACAGTGATGTCCAGCAAACCCAGTGACAGGAAGAGTGAAAACAATGGCTCTTTAAGAACAATTCCCAGCGCAGGGAGACACTTTATTTTTGTGTCAAAGACTGTAACGAGGAGGAAAAATGTATCATTAACCTGGCTGTACAACATTTCTTTATAGCAATAATGGGAAGTAATAGGACTCTCTTCTGTGTTAGTTTTACTTTCTTGGGCATTTCCAGATAACCTTTCCATTGATTTGTGAGGCTGTTTCTTAATCATTTTCATTGACCCAGCTCAGCAGACAACTGAGTCATCTCTGTTATCCTCTTAAGGAATGACTTCTCTGTGTTATTTCTCTCTTCTGTTTTTTCTGAGAATCACTTTTAAAATTTGCTTTCAACATTTTTAGCTTCATTTTCCTTGTATTCCCAATAATCAGTAAAGTCAAGGTCATGCTTTGACCAAACCAATGTTGCAACATTCCCAGAACAAGTAGCAAATCCTTCCAAATTTCAGAAGTTGAACTTCAAAACCCACCTGTGGATTAAGAAAAGCCTTTAGTACTGACTGGCCTACTGGGTGAGGTCTAGAAACTCTGCCCCTAAATCAGTTTTAATGAAATAAAAAATAAAAAGTTCAGCTCAATCCTTTTCCTGCCTGTCCCTACGGTTCTCCCTCTGGATTTGCTGCAGTCCTTCTCAGCTTATTAAAGACAGCCCAGAGGAGACATCCCATGTGTCACCTGGGTTTTGCAGACAGTGTATCATGTAGCATTTGAAGCTTCTTGGGGACTCTTTAGTGACTTGGAATACCACAAGGGAATTTCAAAGTGAGGGAAAATAGTTTTTGGAGATAAAAAATTATAATTCCATGCTAACATCTTCCTTTATTTAGTGGAGATATTGAAGGTAAACCTCTGGTCTACAGTTTTTCTTTATTTCTGCTCGAAGACTATTTTTAAAGCTGACATTTCTAGCTGTTTTCAGGTAGATAACAAATTCTGACAAAACACTTTTTCTTCAAGTAACTGTGCAGACAAAATATACATTTAGTATATTCTGAAGAATATACTTCACGTTCTGAAGACTTACCTTCGAGGCATTACAGCTCCTGGGAGTAATACTTGTCTTCTTGTGGCTGGCAGCCTGAAAAAGGGAAATTCAGCTTGGGTTAGTGCAGTCACAGGTATGTCACTGAGCTCAGCAGGAGCAGGATTTCCCTCTGAGTCAAGGGCTGTCCGGCTCCTAGCAGAGAACTTATTACAAACCCAGGACTGAAACATGGTTTGGGGAGTTTTACCAGGGATATTTCTCCTGTGAGTACGTGTGAGCACAAAAGGTAGTTTTCATCTGTTCTCAGTTTGTGTGCTGCCTTTATGCTCTCTTTCATTCCTCGTTAGGGGTGACTACTTGTGTAATGAGAGTGAAATTAAATGTCTTGTTTGGAAAGCGTGGCCTTTAACTTGCATTGGCTTCTGTGTGTAAAATACATCAATTGCTGCTCTAACTCTTCTTGGTGTTTGGAAAAATCAATGCTTGGTATGGATTGGGTACCAAAGTGATGAACAGGAGAAAACCCTGCTTAGAGCTGTTCCACAGCTTTGTTGTAGAGCTCTTCCTGGCAGCACCCTGTTCCGAGGGTCTCACAGGCAATAAACACTCGTCTCAAAATAACACTCGGAAGTTGTTTTGTGCAGCACAGGAGTGATGGTGGGATGTGGATCCAGCTCTCACCTGTGGAGTTGCAGTGCACCTTGACTGGAGGCTGGGGGATGTGCTCAGGCTCCCAAAAGCTCTCTGATGTGCTGGCAGTCCTGCACGGGGCAGCTGGGGTGCCCTGTGGGCCTGCTGGACCCGCTGGCACGAGGCCCTGGGCAGAGCAGCGTGTTCTGGGCTTTCAGGTCTCTTGGTGCTAATCTGTCATGGCTGGGAGCGTGGCACTGGTGGGAGAGCCAAACTCGTTTGCCTGGGGCACTTGTTAGGGAATAAGTTTTCAAGACCTGAGTCTTCAATATCCCAAGCGCCGGTGAGTGGTGACTACTGGCACAGGATGACCCTGACTTGGGAGTTTTGGGCAGTTGAAGCAATTGAGTATCTGTGTTTACCATGAAGACAGTTGTTAACTTGTGCTTGTAAGTAATTATGCACAATTGTTTGTCTCTTGCTAGCAGGGATTAAAAATGTGGCATGATTACAAGTGTCCTGGCAAGGAACCCACGGTGCCTGTTGTAATCTCATTAGCTCTGTTAGGTGTGCTTTCCTTCCCCTGTGGTTGTTCTGATCACTCGGTCCCTGGAAAAAGACTCTTTGTAGGTTTTTCTCATTGGTTTGCATCCATGCAGACAGCATCGCTTCCCGGGGTGTGTTCGTGGTGACTGTGGCAGTGACCTGCTCTGGGGCTGGTGGGAGGTAGGAAGATGATGAAGCAGTGTCTTTAGAAAGACGGGGACCGGAACAACCTTCCCCCAAAGGCAAGCAGGAGGATGCTGTTGGGGTTGCAGTGCCGACAAGAGAATTCCCGTTGTTGTTGTCCGTCAGCACGCCCCGGGCCGTGCCACCAGGGCCCCTCTGCTCCGTCCTCTGGGCTGCTCCTCGGAGATCCTCAGGCGGGGACAGGAGCCGCAGGTGACTATTCCAGAGCTGTATTTGCAGGTGGCACCAGGCTTTTCCCTTATCACTTCTGTGGCAGAGCCGGGCATC